CCAAGTTCAGTTCCCAGCTTCCATGTTGGGTGGCTCACAACTGTCCAGCAGGGGATCTGATGCCCTCTTCTGGCTGCTGCAGGCACTGCAATCACTGTACATATCTCACATACTCTTAAAAAAATACATTTTTTTTTCCTCCTGTGGCATAGCCACCAGTATGCTATTGTAAACAACCCTTCACCCAGGATCCTGTAAACAACCCAAATGAAATTCCCATTAACATTAATAAAGATGTGAAAACACACAAGACACTGGGTGGGAAGAGAAAAGGAGTCAACAGAAAGAGGAGGGAAACAGGAGAAGGTGATGGGATGGGTGCCCACAATAAAAATACACTATGTGTACTGTGAAAATGCCAGAGTGGAATCCATTATTATATATAATTAACATTGCTAGTGAAAACAGATCATTAGAGGCTGGATTTTGCTCCCAGATGTTCTTTATTGCTCAGTTACCTTCCCGGAGCTTCTTAAATCTGTGCTATCTACCTAGTCCCAACTAGAGATCCTTCAGCAGGTAGCTCAGAAGTGCTGCAGGGAGGGGGTGCTCTATCTCCTGCTTCTAAGCACCGCTTCTCACATCTGCTGCCCTAGGCTCATACCCTCAGGCTTAGCTCTGCCCCACTGAACACCCTGCTGGGAGCACCGCCCAGGCCCCTCCCCCCATGGCTGGACACATTTTCGATGTCTGTACTGCAGTATGGGTCTGGCCATTCCCACTGCATGTGGCATCTGAGCTGATTTTCTGGCCCAGTGCAGACGTGATGAGGCTGGCGCTGGTCAGTCCTGCCGTGCCACTGGCCTTTGTAGGGGAGGAAGTACTTGGACTGGGGACAGGAAAGTACAGCCAAGCATTCCATCGCTGTTGTCCCACCATGCACTCTCTCTGGACAGGAAGGAAGTCAGGAAGGAATCCACTCCCTGCAGAGGCCACAGGCAGGTCAACTTCAAGTGCATTCCCCACCCCAGGCCTTCATGCAGAAAGTGGAATTCAGTGCCATGGGAAAGGCAGGGCAACATATTCAAGTTGGCTCTCTAGGGCTGTGGGTCTCACCTCCACAGATCTTGGCCAATGTCCGGAGTTTGAGTTGTGACCCCTGAGGGGAGAGTTCCTGTTGGCACCCCATGGGTAGAATCTGGGGTCCTTGCTAAAATATCCTACAATTTTCCTGAAACAATGAACTCTCCAACCTTCAAGGTCCAGTCCAAGGCCGAGACCTTGTTGAGGGGCAAAGGCAAACCCAGAAATCTGCAAGCTGAGGCCTTGAGTTCCATTATACCAGTGAGTGAGGGGAAGACAAGGGAGACAGCCTGGCAGCCTGGGGACCAGAGGGGCACTCTGATGCATCGACGATATTCTACTGGCTCTGCTCTGGCCACAGCTGTAATCCCGTACTCCAGAGCCAGATCATAGGTAGACTTCTGTGGCAGCTTTGCCAAGCATCTCTCAGGCTGACCCTGCAGAATGTTGCCTCCTAGAAGGATTTATGGAGAACTCTACCAGCCAGAGCCACTCTCCACCCACACAGAATTTGTCACCTTCCTCCCAGGTGGGTCCCCCATCCTCTCAAGAGGATTTGGCTCCTGTAGCAGCTCTCAGCTCAAGCCCTTCCCCGATGAGCTCCACTGCTCCCTGTGGTCCAGGACATCCTGCCTACAGATGGAGAGTGTCACGCTACTCACCGCATCACGCCCCCCCCCCCCAACTACATCATCAGTCGCTTCCTGTTTCCTGTTGGGGACAAGTAAAACAAAACAAAAAAGAAAACTACGGCCCACTCAACACTAAGGCAGACTCCCAAGGCTCTTTGTAACTTTCTCCCACCCTGCCTTTCACTTCCAGTGCCTCTTCTTGCAATGTTGCTGTCTTCACATAGTGGTTACCACACAATGACCATCAATGTCCATTCTCCTTATCCATCTGCTCACACTGCCCTAGGTGCTCCAGCTCCTCCTCCCCTCTAACTTACCTACCTCTCTTCCAGCTACTAGCCTTACTCAGCCAAGCATCTTGGCTCCTCCCCAGCCATTAAACCCTACCTTGCAGAGCCTCACCCATCGCTGGGCTCTGCAGGCACCAAACACACGATTTTAGCACGGTAAACATTAACCTAGGCAATTCAGCCAATTCCTGCTAAATGCACTTTGCTAAAAGTCACTTTCAATTTGATCACTGTAAAAGGTGACTCTTTCCACAGCTGCAAACCCCTGCAGCTCTCAACAATAGGACTCAAGGAAATGTCCCCTCCTGCTCCATCCGACAGGGCTGGGACAAGAGAGGAGTGAAATGATTCCCACACTTGATGCTCTGAGGGCACGGGGCCCCTTTTCCATGTGGCTCTGATGAGCTGTGCTGCTGCAAATGCTAGAACTAAGCCAGCAACTCACCCCTGAGGTGCATCTGCAGGGGAGTCAGACAAGGTGCTAAGGTGCCAAACGGCTTATGATACCGAGAGCCTGCGGGGATCTTCTGGCACACGTCACTGTAAAACTGGAGCGATGTGGATTTGTGCCAGTAAATATGAAGGAGAGCTGAAAATAGCAAGGAGTTTCTCATCTTTAAATTATTGTCTGCAACCACCAGGCAGAACTCTCTGGGCTCTAGAAGACTGCCCGGGGGAGACACATCCAGAATACTGGGACATTTTCCTAGGAGCTCCCCTCCCAGAAGAAAGAGAACCCTTCAGGAGTGGCTATATTCACTCCCTCATCTCTGCAAAGAGGTGCAAAGTTAGTACAACCTTTGCCAAGGGCACTCTGGCAGCAGAGACTGAACAACAAAGATACCTCCTGAACCCATAGTGTATTTTTTATTCTCTCTTCTTTTCCTTACAGACTCACTCATACAAAATGACCTAAACATAGTCACTGCGGCACTGTTTGTAAAAGCAAATGACTAGACACAATCTAAAAGCTGAACGGTAGGGGATCGGTTAAATAAATTATAGGACATCTGTGAGGCTGGGAAAGACTGGAGTTCACTTTCTCAACCCATATAGAGTGATCTCTAAGGTGGATGGTCTGGCAGGACAGGGCTAGTTCAGCGGAGTGCAGGCCCTGTGTTCCCCTTAGCTGTGGGATTTGTAATGGACCTGTCTAGGATGCAACCGACTGAATATTCAGTTTCTGAATGTGGTCATAGGAAGCCAGGGCAATGAGCTGACTCCCAGGGAGGAGGCTAGCTGGGAGGGAGGCAGGAGCATCGCCTTGGTATCTCTTTACTGTGCTCTACATAAACACATCACTTACTCAAAGATAAGCAGAGGGGTCCAGGCCTGCAGTCCTGGTGACTGCACTTTTTCTCCCCCGCTCCCAGCTCTTTTTCTCATCTCTCCCTTACCTTCTGTCACAAGAGGTTACAGTGCCTAAAAGCACAGATGGTGGAGTCAGGAGCCCTGGCGGTGCCTGTGTCCAGGCTTATCCCTCTGCAAACCTGAGCTGAATCCTACAGCCACTAGGGATATGAAGGGTCCCCTGCTGAGAAAGCAGCCTTTCTTTGCAAAGGCCTGGCCCCTCCAAAGCTGCTGAGAAGTCTGCCTTTATCTGACCCTAGACCAGTGGCATTCTACATTCTGAAGGAAGTTGGGGTTTGGGGGGCTCTACGGGGGAAATGGCTCAAAACTTCAGGCAGGTCTGGCAGTTGTTTGGGATTCCTTATTACCTCCCCCACTGAGTTCAGTTCCCACCATGAGGATGAGAAGAGGCGTGATTTCCCAGGCCAGATGTCTGCCAGTCACCAAACGGGGTGACTGCTCTGTGACTTATGGGCCCTGATGGCAGCGGCTTTGCAAAGGCTGGTGACACAAAGCTGGGGAAGTACGTCAGCACTGCACCCGGGCGAGAGGAAAACGCCTATAAAAGCTTTGTTCTTCCTCCACCTTGCCAGAGAAACATTTCCAGAGAGCTGAGGAAATAGGAAGAGGGCAGCACCTACTGGGGCTGTAGGGTCTGGGTGAAAAGGGAGGAGGGATGTCACAACCGCTTCCCTGCGGCTGCCCCTGCTCCATCCAATCCCCACAATGGGCCACACTGCTGTCAGGTCCCAGCTCCATCAGTACTACGTGAGGACGGGCAGACAGCGCGATTATTCTGCATTAGCTGCCTCAGTTTCCTCACGTGCCAAAATGCAGGTTGACTGCGTTAACGAGTGCTTGAAATGATTAGTACTTTGCACGTATGTGTGATCAGTGTTAGTTTCTGCTCATGGTCATTGTCACCATCATCACAGGCAATGCCCTCTCCTCCCCTTAGCTCTGCTCTGTTACGCTGTCCAATACTACAGAGCCTCGAAGCTACTGTATCAGCCCCAGACCCCAGACCACTGTTACCTAGGGTCACTTGCAGAGAGGCAGCATCTACCACAGGGTGAGGTGGCTGAATCTCAGCCTAATACCTCTGTGCTCTGTGGACACGGAGTTCCCCACCACACCTCATACACTTCTAACTTTGAATTTTGCAGCCTCCACCAGCCTTTGCCCACAGCTCTTCCTGTCATCGAGAAAGGACACAGTGTGGGGACAGTGGCTTTGGTGCCTTGCCCGGCTTAGCCCCAGCAGAGTTCCGCTCCCCTCCAAAGCCTGCAGTGAACCACAGGAGTGGTTGTGACATGGCCCCTGCAGGCAGTCACAGCCCTTAGCACAGAAAATGGAAAATCCATCAGCTGTCCCTAAGGATTGAGCCAGCATCTCTGAGTCCAAACAAGGTCAATTTAACATGTGACATTTGTGTCAAGATCTTCCATGCAGAAAGGCAGGCAGGCACATTCTAGCTTTCCAGCCTTCCTTATGCAGCCTCAAATCACAGAGAGTGTTACCTGTGAACTACCCAACACACCCTGCGAGACACTGGCTATCAGGCCTGACCCTGCCCTCTACTCCTTGGCTGCCACTTGGGCTGTCAGAGTGGATGTGTGTGACCCAGCATGGGCCCTGCTCCTGCTCTGAAGCCCACTACGCACACTGTATGATTGATGCACCATGCAACGGTAATAGTTCTTACTTTCTGGGAACAAAATCCAGAGCATGTCTCCACAGTCATGTTGGCCTGTGTCAGGGAGGAGGAGAAGGTGTGGGTGATGTTCTCTGGCAGTGGGAAGCACCCTCGGTAGGTGGCAGTCCGTCCTGCAGGGAAGGAAATGGGGTTTGGGTGAGAAGTGGTATCTGTGGTTGGCTCTGGGTCCTAAGGCCTATGTGAATAGACCCAAGAGGGACAGCTATCATGAGAGAGAGAGAGAGAGAGAGAGAGAGAGAGAGGGAGAAGGGTACAGACGGGCTTGAGCCAAGCACCTGAGAAACATCCACCATGGGAACCATGGTCATCCAGGGTCTTTAACATGGGTCAGAGTTAAGGGGTCGCCTTTCCTACCAAATCTTTGGGGGTGGGGGTGGAGGTGAGGGGGTCTGGGTTTCTGTTTTTCTTCCCTTCATTTTGTATTTTACTTTATGCTAGCTTTCAGAGTGATCTGGCAGGCTGGTAGTCTAGAAAGTTCTATGACTCCTGAGAATATGTATGGAGAAATAAGTGGACTTGGGCATCTGGACTGCCTGTTGCCTCTTGCTGTGTTGGGGCAGACAAGGCACTCCTGGGCCTTCTTGCACACTGTCCTCACTCTGGTCTTGAACTCCTGCCCGGGTTCTAGGGATACTCCTCAATCCTGTGTCACAAAGGAGTTTTCTTGCCAAGTTGTTCTTCAACCTTCTGGTGGATAAGCTCAACTCACTATTTGGTTCCCTTGGTACTGAGCAAACCTTCTGGAATGTTCCAGCACCAGCTGCTTGGGGATAAGTTTCTTGAGCTGACATCTGATTCACATCCCACACTCCTCTTCCTATCAGGTCTCCTGAGGTTTGACATCTTTACTTAAGCTTGCTCTCCCTGCCACATCTGGCCAGCAGCACAAACTCTCGCCAGGCTACATCAGGAAAGGAATTTTTCCATATAAACTGTTAAGTCATGCCAAGTCCTGGACCTGGAAGCCCATCTTAATTGACCACAGAACCAGGGGTCTGGGAATCAGTATACAGAGCCAAGAAGGCTACCTGTTACAGAGAAAATGGCTGGCTTCCAGTACTCAGGACCTGGGCTGTCCAGCCTGTGACTAGCCCTGTGTCACAGACTCTTCCTCACTGACAGACATCTTCCAAGCTCTGAGGACTGTTGTGGATGCATTGCTTGTCCCAGTGCCAGCTCCTGACAGCTATATCCTACCCATCCCCCATCCCCCCACCTGCATAGGATTGTGGGACAATAGCCCAAACTAATGACATATACCACACACAAGACTCTGTGCCATCCCGTGGCAAGGTCAGGCCACAAAGAACAAAGACTTAGCTCAGGCCTCAGAGCTCAATCACTGGCATGGGACAGATGCCGAGGGTACGGACTGCAAGGGAAGGGAGGGCCACTAAGGCAGGGAAAACACAGGAGAAGGAAAGTAACTAGTGTCTCAGGAAGTCCAAGCCATGGCAGGGTTGGGGGGCAATGGGGAGCCATAAGACTCCAGAATGGAGCTCCCAGAAGGAGGCTGTGTGTGGTTCCCTGCAACCAGCCTCAACACTAAAACAAGAGATGCCAAGGGGTGCTGAGTGAATGAATGAACAGAATGAGGCACAGTATTCTGGTGGGGGAGTGACGGGGGTGGAGCTCAGCATGACCGACAACAGGGAAGTGACCCATGTGGCTTGGGTGGTCACAGAAATGGTCTGTGCACATCCCTGATGTGACCGTTTGTGGCTGATGCCATTAAGTGTAGACTGTTCTATAGCCCTCACTGTGGAGTCCCCAGAGGAGAGCCCTGGGGCCACGCAGGGCAGACGAACATTGTCGAGGGAAGACACTGATGAAGTGTCAGGACTGACCCTCAGCCCAACTGGAAGGCAAGGGCATACTTGTGCGTGTGTCCCAGCAGCCGCAAGCTGCACTTTACAAAGGTTGGTCACCTGATCACCCCTGACAGCCTGTTAGCATAGCTCCTGGAGAGTGGAGCGGAATGCAAAGGTCAGAAACACAGCTGGCTGCAGAGACGGCACTGACACCATGGCCAACATGAACCATGATAGCAGTTCTGGCCCACTCAAGATCAGAGGTTGTCTTGAATGACCGGACCATCTGTCCCTCAGCCGATCGAAAGCAGAGGCAAAACAACAACAACAAAACCCAAAACCAAACAACAACAACAAAACCCCAAACCAAACAACAACAACAACAACAAAAAACCCAAAACCAAATCAAACCAAACCAAACAAGCAAGCAAATAAACGAAAAACCTGGCTGTCTCTAAGTCTGCTGGAAGTTGGTAGGGTGGCCCAGAGTCTACCTCAGGCCCGATCCTGCTAGGTCTCGGGAGTAAGGGACCAGAGATCAGGATAAGAGATCAGAGATCAGACTAATCATCTAAGACCAAAGAAATAAAAGATCCAAGAAGCGAACACGGCCAGTCCAGTCCTCAGAAAGCCATGGAGGTGTCCAAGGAAAGACAAGGTAAATCTGGCACACACTAGCTGTCAGTGGGTTTCTGCTGAGTTAATGGACTCACTAGCAAATCCTTGAGCTCGTCTGTATTGTCAGTGTCTTCATTCCAAGCCACTGCCCCATCTAGGCCTCTCGGCTCCCAGACACACCTGCACGATGCGAGAAGCACCTGAGCATCTCTAGCAGCCAGGAAGGAGTCAATCTCCCTGTACTTTGGCCCTAAGTGCAGTGCCTGTGGCCCACCATGGTCCTCAGGGCTGGGCTATTTCTTTTCAAGCTTGTAATTCTGAATTGTATGCTCATCTTTGGTGAGAATTTATCATGAGAACCCTTGATGCCTACGTTTGTTTGCATAGCTTCCAGAGAGAGATTTTGTTCTTGCTCCTCCAAGATCCTCCAAAAAGCTCCAGAACCAACTTTTATGTTAGAGCTTGCAGGCCCTGGTAGATGATATAAGTTAAACTCCCCAAACACACACACACACACACACACACACACACACACACACACACACACACAAATGTGGCGCTGTAGATGTACATTCTCAAGTCTTATTTTATCTCCTCAAACCAGTTTTTGCCTCTCAAGTTCACCACCGTAGGGCTAGAGACCTAGCTCTATCCAAAGAAGTTAGAGAACAGACTGGAACCCCACAAAGAGAACTGAGTTATCTGTAACCACACCACCAACCCAGGCTTCCTACTTAGCTTCTTCTGCCAGGGATAAGGGAAAGTGTGCCCAGTCATGAACCTAGGCAGTTATAGTTTTTGATGGCCCTAACTCTCTCTCTGCAGTATGCCAGGAACCAGTCTGGTGCGGGTGACAGGGAAGGGGGCTCCAATTCTGGCCTATGGGCTGTGGGTAGGGTGAGTGGGACATGGGTGACATATAAAGCTTGGGATGAGGCTGGCACACTCACGCTTCCTGGAGCCCGACTGCTGCAGCCCCACGCTGTACACGGAGAGCCGACGAACAGCCCCACAGAAGGCGCCCTTCTCCCCCTTGCACTCCTGGTTACACTCCTTCAGGCTGACGCGTGTGACTGGCAGCCGGTTCCCACAGTAGCACTCCGCGCCAGCCTCCAAGCCAGCATAGACATAGGACCTGCAGGGACACAGTGTGAGTCAGTCCAAGCTGGGCCTAGAGCTAAGGCTGGAATCCAAACTATGGTTAAGGTCGGAGTCAGGTGATGACAGTTGAGTCTTAGGGATGGACTTGAATCTCCAATGAGGTTTAGGTGAACAGGCAGGGGCATGGCCAGTGATTCTCAACCTGTGTGTCCCGACTCCTTTGTGAGGGCAAACCACCCTTTCACAGGGGTCAACCTCACCCTCCTCTTAGTTTCCAAGCATGGAGAAGGTGGGGCCTGTCTTTGCCTTTTCTAGGTATAAAATGTGGGGGGGGATAATTCATGACTGCCTAAAAGAATAGGGTGGGACTTGACTTAGACAAGGGTGAAAGAGTCTAAGGTGATAGAAACAGGTCAAGATGCCGGGTGTTCACGCTGCTCTTCCTGTCTTCTGACATGAACATGTACACCAGTGAGCTGTGACTGTCCTGATGGTAGGGGCTACATGACAAATGTGGGATGGCCACAGGAAAGCTGAGAGTATCTGAAAAAGCAAATTTTGTTGTACACACAAGTAGAAAGGGTTGCTCTAACCCTGAACTGGTCCTCGATATCCCTTTAGTTGACTTTTTAAAACAGATGAGCAAACTGAGGCGAGGGACCTGAGTAACTAAGTTTTTGGTGGGCCCTCACACTTCCATAGGATACTCCTAGAACTCCCATGGGTCACAGGGAGAGTCCCTAGCACAGCAGGAATGGAAACTAAGTCTCCAGATACTTTCCAGCACCTTGGTCATACGCTGACAAACTTTCTCCTGGGATTAGAGTCTGATGAATGGGGGTGTAACGACATCAGGGCAGTTAACCAGCAACCATGATGTCCCTGGGTTCGGAGCCTGTCTTCTGACCTTATTCTGGTGTGGTCAACAGCCCAGCTCAATACTCACCGCTCAGCACACGCATCCTGGCAGTGCGACACGGTCATCTTTCTCAAGTCATAAAACACTGTCCCCTTCAGAGTTCTTTCCTGGCCCTCCTCACTGAAGCATCCCAGGTAAGTGCCTGCAAAGAGGGAGCACAATAGAGATCAGGCCTAGGAGTCAGGGAGCACCTCCAGCCATGGGAAAGTCTGCCCGCCTGCAACCAGTGAGGAAAAGGGGGGGGGGGTGGGGGGGTGGGCAGCCCTGCCTGACCCACAAACTTCTGCAGAAAGTAGAGGGGATGAGAAGTGTTCTTCAACTTCTCCCAGCACAAGAGCCAAGCAGGTAGCCGGGAAGCTTTCTGCTTCTTTGCTTAGTTAATGGCCTGATATGCACCCAGTTAATGGCCTACTGTGCACCTAAAGGTAGTGCCAGGAACCTGGAGCCAGACTGCAGCTTTCTCCACCACTCCTCTTCCCTGTGCTTGGATATGAGTTTTACACACACACACACACACACACACACACACACACACACACACAGTATTAATTGTATATACTGATGGGCTACAGTACAATGATCCAACATATGTGTGCAATGGTCAAATCAAGGCAGTTGGCATTTTTATACAGTTGAGTCCTTGTAAACATTGATGGTTTAATGACCTCACTCTCTCTTCCATTCCTAGGCTCAGAGAGGCCCTTTGCCTCTACTGTGGTCCCAAGACACCCTCCTGCCACATTCACATGAGCCAGAGGGAGGACAGGATCCAGGGAAAGTCTGGAATTAGCTAACCTAAGACGTATCATAAGCAGGGGTCTCTTTAAAACAACCTATCTGCAGTGTGTTGCTAGCATATATAAACAGTCTGTAAGTTTGAGACAGGTGCCCCGTAGAACTGATGTAACCAAGTGATCCTGGAGCCCTCTGCCACATGCTCAGCACTTCCCCAGCCAGCGACACACTTGGGGACGACTCCATAGGTAGTAGCACAATAGACCCAAACGTGCACACACAGGTGGGAGCTGCTGGCAGCCCTGCCCTGTCACTGACAGGAAGGAGCTGTCTCCTAGACTTGCAGAGAAACTTGGAGAATGCAAGCGCAGCTCCAGGCTTGTAAATGTCATATGCATCACAGTATTTTGAAGAAATGGCATTTGGGAATTTGCAAACAATCTCTCACACGGTCCCCAAACTGGAGAGGCACATCCACAAGTGCTATGTTGGGAACTGGATAGGACACCTGTGCCGATGCTGCACACACTCTGAGAGTGGCAAGCTCTGCAGCTCAGGACCTCTTAAAGGTCGCCTGGAGCGTGCACCAGAAACACAGGTCAGGTTTCCTAACAGCCTCATGGCTTCATAGGGCTGGCCAGAGAAGAGCGAGGTCATGGGCCCTCACAAGGAATGGCGGCTTCTGCTGAGCACTGTGGGGAAGGGTTCCATGTCCATTCCTTGCTGAAGCAGGGCGATCGGGCGGGGGGGCGGGGGGGGGGGGCTCTTCAGTCTGTGAGTGCTGCCAAGGTAAAGAAGACTTCAGACTGCTGGATCATCTCGATTGTCCATGTCTTAGTCTCCCCAGCTGTCAGGTGGATGCATGCCCACTTTTGCTCTGGACCAGTTCCCTCCTCCCTTCTAGCCAGTGCCTCACACCTATCCTAAGGTCAGGGTCCTTCCCCTGTCACTCCAGCTCTCCACAGAATCTCAGCACTCAAAGCTGTTGTCTTAAAAATACAGGCAAAGTCAGCCAAGTCCCAGTCATTAACTTGTTGTTAAAAAATCTAAACCGGGCGCCGGGCGGTGGTGGCGCACGCCTTTAATCCCAGCACTTGGGAGGCAGAGGCAGGCGGATCTCTGTGAGTTCGAGACCAGCCTGGTCTACAAGAGCTAGTTCCAGGACAGGCTCCAAAACCACAGAGAAACCCTGTCTCGAAAAACCAAAAAAAAAAAAAAAAATCTAAACCGGAAGCCTCTTGGAGGGTAGGGACAGCATCTTTACCCCAAGTGACTCACCAGGGTCACAAACAATGCCACTGCTATCACCTAACTGGAAGCAGTGGGTCGCAGCTCCAACAAACCACACTGGTAGTCCCAAAGCCTCAGGGTAAAGCAGAGGAGTCCCAGGATGGAAAGGTGGGCCAGCTGACCACACCTGGTTCTAAGTTCCAGGGGCCTAAACTCCCAGAGCAGAAGACAGTCATGAGGCATGAAGCTGCACTTTCATTGTCCAGAGCTCCAGGGAATCTCAGGTCAGAAGATGCCAGGAAGAGGAAGCCAAAGCCACCTTCTTCAGTATGGCCTCTTGTAAATTCCATGACTCCCAAGGCCACCTCCACAGAGGGCTGGGCATCAGCACTCAGCATGCCAACCACAGGCACCTACTCCCTGTGGGGGCTATTTCCCTGGTACGAATCCCTGTAAACTTCTCTCTCTCTCTCAAGAGGCACAGGACTCCCGAATCCATCTTTTAGGCTGCAGAAAACACCCAGCCAGAGCAGCGGGCATGAATTATTCTTTGCTTGCCTACTTAGTAAAAGAAAAGCAGTGTCTGAGAGATTTCCAATGTGTTGGTTGGCACAGCAAAGAAGTCCATCGCAGCTTTCGATTAAACATTCCAAACACAAGTTCTGTCGCCGAAAACGAAGCACGAAGCTCGAGAGGCACCCGGTCAAGACTTGCCGGCGCAACCCTGTTTCTGAGAATGGGACGGTGGAGGCTTGAATTCCTGCTCTGCCAGGACGGGGCTGTGTGACCTGGGATGTGACCCCCTCTCTAAGGTGTAGGTTCCCTATCTACAAAACTGGAACATGGTACCAATCCAGAAGCTGGTTGTGAGAATTCCACAAGATAACATGTGTCCAATGTCTAACACAAGCCTCGGAGTGGCAGGGACCTAGGAGTGACTATTTTATTTTGAATAGTTCATTCTGAAGAATGAAGAATTCTCAATGACTTCCCTGGAACTCACACTCTTCGCTGCTAAAGTGGCGAGAGCGCTGCTTGCATCAGTAGGCTCTTTGAAGATTACATTAAACGAGATGACAGATGGACATCTACACAAAGTGATGCTCCATACATAGCAGATGCTCAAATAAATACTGTCTATTATTATTCTGATCCTATAGTCTAACCTGGGACCTAGCGGGACAATGGATCAGTAAACATTAGTGGAATAATTAGCACATTAGTAGACGAGAGGAAGGCAATGGTTTCCACAGCCAGACTGCGGAAAACTAGAAGTGGCTGGGTACTGAGCAGCTGGACTCTGTGACCACGTGAAGAGGAAGCCCCCCACCCACTGCCTCTCCGCCCAGCAGTCCTGTCTTGGGGTGAAGCCAGGGTTGGAGACACAGATGGCCCCTTTGGGTTGTGGGGGAGCAAAGGAACCCTTTGTCACTTAACATAACAAATGGCTTTTCTAAATCCATGACAGAGGCAAGAATGTGCAGAAAAGCAAGAACTTTCGAGGGACGCAGGGATGCGCTGGGACGATCCTGAGGCGGATTTATTACTCTGGGCTGAAACGAAGACGATGCATTACCGCCTGTGACTCGGCATCTGTTCATTTGCACATCAGAATGGACAAGTCGTGAGGCTATTAACGATGGCTTTGGAGATATTGGAATGTCTTTGAAAATTACTATCAATAAAAAACAAACTGGCTATGGAGAAGTTACTATTTTTCCCCTAGTAAACTTACTGACATTTTATCCCATTATGGATGTTGTCCAAGGTATAATGAAATGCTCAGTGATTGATGGAGACTCCTGCAGCTTCCGTGGCTTGCAGGATCCCTTTCAGGGGATGGCGGCATGCCCAGGCTGCAAAGAGATGCTTGCTTTGTCTGCTGCCCCAGCAGCTGGGCGAGGGTTACACTGTGGGCCACTCTCTAGACCAAGGAGACCTGCTTGGCCATGCAGGGCCAGAGAGTCCTACCAGAGGAAGGGACAGGGACTCCCAGGCCAGCGGTCTGCCTTCCTCTGCAATCTCTGAAGACTCCCAGCATGTCACCACACCTCTGTCAGACACTGCTTTTTAAGAGTCTGCAGGGAGACTAATTTTATCTTTAAAGTCCTGCAGAAGATTCAGAATATTTAATCACCCATGGAGGGGTGGTGCTCATTGATCATTCTGAGTTCTCACTGCCAAGCCCTGGGACTGGACCTTGGATGCCCCATTGCATCCTGGTGTGGTCAGAGTTAACCCTTTCTCTGTTTGGTAATGGGGGCACTATGGAGATCAGGGACAGGGACTATCAACAGATAAGGAGATATACCATCTTTTTCCACACCCAAAACAATATTGTTGGATAGCAGTTGATTACTGTCTTGCTTACATCTTACTGTGATCTCTCTTGCTTTCATCACTACTGTGTCTCTAGGGGTAACTAAATGGTTCTCTTAGATAGATCTATGACCAGAACCAGATGACCAGGCCCTTTAGTTCCCTCATATGCAGAGCAGATATAAAACGTCTGCTCTGCCTCAAGCTCCAAGCCATGCCTTCATCACCCTTCAATAAGTTTGTGCAGTGATTATTTGGATATATAGCTGACTCCACTTCAGAGCACACAAGAGCCCAAGGCAAAACACATATGGGAACTAATATACTAGGTCTTCAGTAAAAGAGGATGGAAAGAAATGAAGAGAAGACTTCAGGCCAATTTGTTGAAGGTCACAGAGCCATGAAGTGGCAATAGCAAGAGAGGAACTCAGCTCTGTCTTCAGCAAGCATGTACTTCACAAAACTTCCTCTCAAAAAACCCATGGGGCCTTCTCCTGGTCACCTGCACTTTAGTCTAAATTAATTGTCCTGGTAATGCCTGCTTAGAGACCCAGCTTCTTGGTGTGTTGGAGAGACTACAGAAGGCACACATGTATAAAATGGCGGCCCCACTAGCTCCTCTGTCTCCTCTTACTTGCAGGCCATGCTAAAGAACCCACTGAGACAAATATCAGCTGAATAATGTCTGAAAAAACACACTTCCCAAGAGACAAGAGCCCACAGCCTTCTAGTCTTCACTTAGTCGGTCCCAATGAGTCATCTCTCCAAGGAAGAGAAGCTGGGCTCTTTTAATGCCTTGGAATCTTCTCATTCTCAGAATAAATCAAAGCTGGGGTGTCACTCAACAGTGGAGTGTGTGCCTAGTATCCCATGGCCTGGGATCTGAGTTTCAACAACACAAAATGGATGAATCAATCTATTTATCCTTCATCCATCCATCCTCCATCCTTCATCCATCCATCCATCCATCCATCTTTCATATCTATCCATCCATCCATTCATCCTTCATCTATCATCCATCTATCCTTCCATCCATCCACCCATCCTTTCTTCATCCATCCATCCATCCATCCTTCATCTCAAATGTTAGTTAGGCCTGACACTTTCTCTTATCCCCTAAGCTTGACGCCCCACTTGCCTTATATCCTCCTACAGTCTTCCACTTAAAACTCAAGGCCCCCTCCCTCATCAGCTCGAAGAGCAATCAGGGTTCCCTGACCTGTGGGGAGTCCAAGGACTTGATTGGGGGAGGGGGAGGGAAATGGGAGGCGGTGGCAGGAAGGAGGCAGAAATCCTTAATAAATAAATTAAAAAAACAATCAAAAAAAAAATAAAAGCACTGTCAATTCTAAAAACAAAATAAATGCTGGTGGAGGGACGTAAAGAAAAAAACCTCAAGGCTAAGAAATCTGTACACTATGTTTAATATTCTATGTGCTATGCTTAATATTCTATGCTAAGTACTCTATGCACTATGCTTATTACGTATGCTAGGCACTCTACAGACTATGCTTAAAAATCTATGTTTAGCAATCCATGAACTTTATTTTCGGGACAGGAGAACCTGGTGACTTGGGGCACAGGACTGAATAAGGTAACAACAGGATGATCAGAGCTAACCAAGTTCAGTTTCATTCAGGTACAACTTCAGCACTTACTATATGTTCCCCAGGCACCCAGCATGTTCCCTGGGCCCTGTACAGAGAATCTACAGAACTCTGTGCACAGAGTACCAGGCCACAGTGGACCATCGTGGGACTTAGAGCAGTGTGAAGGTGGTCCCATCGTGGCCCACTCCTAGGCCTGCCACTCCAGGCTGCCCTGAGATGTGTTCTGTTTTGTCTCCCGCCCCCTCCCACCTCAAGCAGCCTCCATCAGCTTGCACCTGCTCCATTGTACACTTTTCCTGGCTGCCTTCTTTCCTGATCTCCCTGCCACTCCCCAGACAGGGTTTCCTGCCCAGATCTACTTATATCTGAGTTCTGGCTTTGGGACTAAAAACCCCAAACTAGGAGAATAACCTTGACCATTCACTAAACATCCCCATGCCTCAATGTCTTCACTCTGAATTGGGGAAATAATAGTGCCGGATACAGTGGCTTCACAGAAGAGCAACACTGTAGAGACGAGCCACTTTTACTAAAGTGATAACAGTTTCTAGTTAGCAGGCCAAGTAATTCATGAGGTAGCCCTGAGAAGTGGCTCTCAGCTTAGGAGTGCACCAGGATGGCCTAGAACAGCAGTTCTCAACCTGTGGGCCATGACCCCCTCCCAGGGGTTGTATGTCAGATATCCTAATATCAGATATTTACATCACAGTTCAAAATAGTAGCAAAACTGCAGGAATGAAGTAGCAACGAAAATAATTTTATGGTCGGGGGTCACCATAACATGAGGAATTGTACCAAAGAGTTGCAGAGTAGGAAGGTTGAGAACCACTGGTCTAGAAAGTAGGTAAGGGGATTTCTGGTGGCAACCAAAGCAGGAGATTCTGCTTTGTCTGATGTATGACAACCTGAGACTGTGCTGGTCACCAGTTCTGAAGGACAACAGTTGCTCCGGCTCTGAGGCCCATGACACACACCCATGACATACTGCTCCAGGCCACCCCAATACATAACGGTAGAGTCAACGACTCTATCTCCACCTGAGAGGACCCAGAAACAAATGATGTAATCAAGGTCACCCAGTAGGGTGTGACTGAGTCAAGATCAAAGCCTGCACTCTGGGTGACAGTATCACACCCCTTAGTTGCCACAGGGCCAAGAAGAGGGGCAATGCATGGAAGCCTGGGTAGGGTTCTTGGCAGCAGCAGAGTACCTACCTTGGCTGCGGCTCACTGGTCCAGAGGCCTCAGGGCCCAGGGTGGGTGGTCCCTGGGGGTCATTGTTGAGGTGATGGAGCCAGCGCCGCCTCGGTGAGCTGCGGTTCCTGCGGGGCCAGCGGATTCCAGGTGGCAGTCGGGCCAGAGGACTCCTCAGTGTGTCCACATCAAGTATTAGGTGAGGGCTACTGTGGGGGTCATGGAGGCCTCTGCCATCCAGAAGGCCCATACCCAGTGCTACAGTGGCCACCGGCAAGGCCTGCAGGCTGCCAGGAGCCCGGAGGGCCTGTGGGAAGGCCACTCTGGCCCTCTGCAAGAGCAGCAGACTACCGGTCATCAGGTAGGCGGCTGTGAGGAAGAGCAGCAGGAACTGTGTTCTGCGGAGAAACTTCTGGAGTCTGAAGAAAGGTTTGGCCATGCCCTTGGGCAGCAGGGCTCCCAGCTGGAGCCTGGGGACGGCTCCTAGCACCTGGGCAGGAGGGACGCCAGGGCCTCCAGAGGTGTCATCCCAGCATCCTGGCACTGGACACCTGTCAGTACACTCCTGTGCTGCTGTCCCTGTGTGTCTCAAATGTCACCATCGCTTTTCTTCAGCAGCCACCAGCCCCGTGTTGGTAGTTTCTGCCCAAGAGTCACCGTCTCCCCCATCCCTCAGTTCTCCTGGCCCTCATCAGTCTCAGGAACCTAGGAAAGTGAAGAAATAATATTAAGATGATAGGGTCCACTGCCCCCTTCTTGGACCAGGGTACTCCCCAGCCCTATGGCTGACTTAACAAAGGGGTAAGCTTTGTGTCAGGAACACTCGACAGAAAGTTCTGATCCCAGCTCTTCTGCTGGCCAGCTGTGTGACACTGGGGAAGTTGTGGAACCTCTCTGGGCTTCAGCTTCCTCATGTGTGACATGAGGTTAATACTGTTCTGGATAGTGGCCATGAAGAGCCAGTAATGACGACAGCAGACAGTAGGAGGAAGGCAAGCAACCACGGCTTCCATTGACTCCTCAGTAGCCCCAGGCACTCAGCTCAATGAGTTATGCCTTCATCTCATTTGATTCTCCCCAATCTAGTGAGCTAGATAATGTCCCCACTCTACAGATGAGAAAAACAAAGGCACTGCAATTTCCTGAAGCTGCACAGCTGGGGAGCACGGGAATCAACGCTCCAAAGTCTCTCCAGACCTGTTTTCTAAACTGCTACCCAGCTCGGCCTGAAACACAGCTTTGCTAAAACACAGGTGTGCCCCACGCAGGCAGGGGTATACTGCAGGTACTCAACAAATACACACAGGGACCTGGCTCCCTGGGATGCACTGGCGCTGCCATCTGTATTCCGGGAGCAGTTTCTACAGAGGTTGGCCATTAACACTCACTAAGACAGAGGCCCGAGGGAGGGAGAGGATTTTTGGTGGACTCCTTGCTAGGGTGCCAAGGGACAGGATAACGCCAAGAGGCCGGGGAAGCTGGTGTGGAGGAGGGAAAGTCCACTGGGTAAGCCTGCCCAGGCTACAGTGTTCATGTTAAGCTGTGGTTCTCACTGGCGGCATCTCTAAAGTGGTTATTAGGGTTGGTGGGGGGCCCTGCAGCTGCCACGAGCTGGGCTGCTGTGTGAGAAGGGCCCGGAGCACAAGGACAGGCCTGTCCCAGAAGAAAGGACCCTGGAAGTATGACTAAGCCGCTGGCCGTAACTAACATGGTGAGGGCAGCGCTTCAATGGCTGTTCTGTGCACAGACACGGCCTGCTGGGTGTGGGAAGAAAGACAATGTTTTGGCTCTGGGGCCCAGCATTCCAGGCTGCAAGGAGGCTGGGGACCCAGGAGACCATCCAAAGGGGCCCAGACCAGCCTGAGCCTTCCGGATTAAGTTCTGAGAGCCTCCAAGATGACAGAGGTATGGGAACACAGGTCCTCATCAGCAAATGACAGCGGAATCCAGCTGAGCAGGGCAAACCTTTGCAGATGGTCTCCTAGTCTTTCCTTTCTGTCTAAGCTGGTGTGTTGCCAGACCCACTCTTGCCAGCTTCAGATTTGTAAAACTACAGAGAAAATCCCATGAAATCCGGACTGATCTGTCTGCCCCCAGCCTGGGCTTCTCCAATCAACAGTGCACAGGCTGCCTGGGTGAGCCTCTTTAACAAGCGAATCTGATCATGGCTGGTGTTCCCCTGCTTAAAAACCTCTTTTCAATAGCTCCAGAGCTTGGGGATCAACTGCAAGCTCCTTAGCATGGCACACAAGGTCTCCTGGTGATCCAGCCCTTCGAGACCCAATCTCCGTGTCTCAGGGTCTCCACCACGCAGGCACATACATACAATATGATTGCAGCAGGGTTTCCTGCAATCATAGTGTGTATGACCCCCAGGCTTAGCATAAAGGTCACTTCCTCCAAGATTTACCTGATCACATCCACCCACAGAGATAGATAGATAGATAGATAGATAGATAGATAGATAGAGATAGGTAGACAGACAGACAGACAGACCGAACCCCAGGTCCCCAACAGCCTATGCCGAGCCCTCCCAGCACACATCACTTTGATGCAATTGCCATTGTCTCCCCTCTTTTCAACCACCCCAAAGGACTCTGATCAACCCTAGTGGACGCCATCCCCTATTCATTTTGTCACTGTCCCCCAGCATGAAGCCTGACACAAAGTAGTCTTTGCCAGTGAAGACTGCTCTTTGTTTTGTTTTGTTTTTTAACTTATGAATAAAAGGATGGCTAAGTGGACAGGAAAAGTCTGCTCCTGAGGGGTCTGACAGCAGCCAGACTTCAAACTCCATTCCCCCATAGCTGGGAGGAAGCCTGAACTGGAGAGATACTGACCAACATGTGGGCAAGCAGAGGTCTCAGCACCACAGAGTTGAGGTGTAAGATGCACATGGATTATCAAGAACACCCAAACACCTAAATGTTGGACCTTTAGCGTGCTATAAGAAGGTAATGTTTGCAGAAGGGTTCTGGATGCAGAAAGTTAGGGTCCTACTGGCATGAAGTCCTGAAAACCACAGTAACAGGCGTAAGGTGGCACATCTACTGTGGGAAGAAAGTTTCTGGTGTGATGGAACAGACAGGTGGGTGATGCCCCCCTGCACCCCCAGGTGTGTTGGGACTTCCATCTTATGCTACAGATAGGTTGTGCTATATAAGACAAGTAGGGAAGGGGGTAGGGGAGAGATTTCAGCATGAACCCACCAGGCTTCAAACTCACTCCTGCTTTCCAAGACCTGGCAAGTCCTCCTAGAGTCCCCTGGACCAGTCCTTGGAGCGGTCTCTCTAATGCGGGTAGTGTCTGACAGTCACATGCAGGCCAGAATTCCACAGCCCAGGATCCCAGAAACAGGCATTCACTCTCAATTCTTAAAATGGCAAAGCTGATTCCCAGGCCAGAACCTTGATTGAGGGTGGGCAGGGTGCTACACAATCGAAGCACCCAGAACCTGCCCTGTCCTGATCCTTCCACCACACTCTACCGCTGCAATTGCTAGCGTGCAGCCCCGCTCATCTGTCCAGCGGATGAGGCCCCTCCAGGTCACAGATTGACCTGGCCTGTCTCCATAGCCCCAGATGCCAGCAAACAGCTGGTTGAGTAGCAACAGCAAGAACCTGTTAACTCAAGAGTGGCCGAGCTGGGACTGGGAGACCTGCAGCATGCATAGAGTACACAGACAAGCTTAGAGGTGTAAGACAGCAGAGCCAGCTGAGACCTGGCAGGAATCTGGCCACTTTTCATCTGTACTGGACCTAGTAGGCCACTTGACCTGTTGTACCCCAAGGCCAGCCGACCTTTATTAGAGCCAACCCAATCCCAGGGCAGAGCCTCAGGCTCCTTGTCTGTGAATGGGAAAGTGGGTGTGGTTGTCGATCCACACTCTAGTTGCCTAGACTGTGGCGCACACTGGCTCTGAATACCAAAGTGGTGCACAGGAGCTGCTGGACGACAAGCCCACAGCAAGTGCTCCTGGGAAACTGGTTCCTTCCGTCCTGGCCTCCTCCTCCCAGGACGGGCCCAACAACTTCCTCGTGCTTGAAGTTGATCTAACTGCTGTTGGCAACTGCTTAATTTTCAGTGACACCATTTATTAAGCTCCTACAGTGTGAATAAATAGATTAGATGACCTATGTATCTCATGGGCCCCGAGATCCTCATGGGAGGCAGAAGGCCTGCTTCCCGTCAGTTGAGAACTGTCCCCGTACCTGCCTAGATCTGAGTCAGTATTCACACCCAGACATCTGTTCCTGGAACATGTGGCCAATAAGCTCCCTGCCCCTTTCCTCACTTCAGTTCTGGTTCTGCACGTGGCAAGATGTATTCTTTAATATGGAGTGTGTCTCCTTCACAGGGCTAAAACTATGCCAGGCAGAAACTCCTCCTGCTCTGGCCTTTCTAGAGCCAAACCTACCAGTCACTGGCATGGGCAAGCTGGAAGGCTGCCTTTGAACCCTTCCCCCTTTTCTGGAAGTCTCCTATATCTCCCCAGAGGCTTACTTTACTGCTGCTTTTCCTTATTTAGAGACCACAGAGTACTTGGGGTGAGGGACCGCCACTTGAGGCTCATTCAGACTGGACAAATACCCATCCACCACCTTGAGCAGTGCTCTATACATCCTTGGAATTATGGAATTATTTTAGGGCTTAGGGAAGGAGCAGCTGAGGTTCCCCAGGAATGAGAGGAGAATGATTGAACCCAGAGGCTTCAAGGAGTCTTAGGGAAGAAAAGCAGACTCCTAGAGCAAGGGGTACTCAGAAAACCGGGCTCCTGGAAGAGGGAAGATGGCACCTACCTGTGGGCCAAGTTGGGGTTGGAGTCCTAGGAGTGGCAGCAGAAATAGGAAGGCAATAAACCAGAGAGGAGAGAATCACCAAGGCTAGCCAGTGCTGGCCCCTGGGATTCAGTCATGTGACTCCACCTCCCGTCTATCTTCTGGCTAGAGAGAAGAAGCATTAGTGGAGAACAAATGCCCCCCACATGGCTCTTAGCCACTGTGGCCACCAAGAAAAGGCGATTCTGTGCTGTGTGCACATAGGGCACCATCGTAAAGACAAAGCACAGGGTTCGACAGGCCGTTCCCCAGTCAAGATGAGAACCCCAGCTGCTCAGAGCCTCGGTCACTGATCAGTCAGAAGCTAGTGGCGCTGTGCCTCAGTGAAGCTGTAAATGGGGCTGGGTTCCAGTGTCCTCCCACCTCTAATTTTCCATGCTTCACCCTCTGCTGCCCTATTCAATGCCTGTCAACTGAACTCCATTCTTCTCCCAGAGATTCTATCCTCCCAGCATCCTAAGAAAGCAGTTATACCGGTGTACAGCATCCGTGATACTAGAGCTTTCAGAAGGAGCTTGGAGGAACTGATCCAAACTCCTCCACTGCCACTCAGTGTCCTGTCTTGGTTCACTCCCAGCCCCCTCCCTCTGACTATTCCTTACAGAACCCAGTGTCCCAAACAGTATTCCTGGCCAGCATCAGCTGTTTCAAGCCTCCTTATGGTGCATGTTCTTCAGACAGCCAGGGATGCTCTGCCCAACTCACAGGCCTGAAATACTTTCCTGCCCTTAAGGCTCAGCCCAATAACACTTTCTCCATAAAACCTCCTTACCCCCGGAGCAGAGTAGCTCTGAAGCACCAACAGAGAGGCTGGATACACAGTGAGCTGTGGCTGCAATCTGGGTCTACTTGGAGTGCGGTCGTTTGTCCATATCCCTACATCCCCTCCCAGCCTGCAAGTCACTCCCAGGTACAGTCAATATCTCTGCCCACTTCTGGGAATACCACCCTCATTCCAGGGTCCTGAGCTCCTGGTCTGAGGCTGCAAAGGGAGGTAAGGCACCCACAAAACACAAACCTGCTGGGTCCTTGCAGGAATGGGGTAAAGACTACATCTTTGAAGAGGCAAAACTCTGAACTTCGGCACTCTAGAGAAAGAATTCAAATAAGAATGTTTCTAGGGGCTTGGGGAGATAGCTCAGTGAGATCCTGAGTTCAGATCTCCAATATCCAGGCAGAAGCCAGAAGCCAGGCATGGCTATGCTTCTTAACCCCAGTGTTGGTGAGGTGGAGATAGGCAGATTCTAGGGACTTGCTGACCAGACAGAAGGGCGGAAGCAGCAAGCTCTAGGTTCAGTGAGACACTTTGGCTTGTAAAATAATGTGGAGGCCAGATGTGGTGGTACACGCCTTTAATCTCAGCATTTGAGAGGCAGAGGTTAGCCTGGTCTGCAAAATGAGTTCCAGCTAGCTGGAGTTAGATAGCAAGACCCTGTCTCAAACAAAAACAACCAAACAAAACCCAAACAACAATAATACTGTGGAGAACAGCAGAGAAAACCACTAGCCTCTGCAGGTGCTTGCACACACAGATGTGCACACACACAGACTCCACACCCACGTACACGGTTTCTTTACAAGTATAAAATATAATAGCTAATTAGCTTAATTAGTTCATAGCATACACATAGGTCCAATGTCGCATGGTATCCCGTTAAAATAGACGATTACGATTTGTCAGTCACAAATAGTTAAAACTAGTCTTACTAAGGTCAAACTCCACTCCATGCAAATGAGGTGTATTACCTTCAGTGAACTTAGGACTGGAGTTCATATGAACAGTAAAGTTTTAGATGTCACATTAGAGTTACATGAATACGCAGATAAAGAAATGAATGAGTGATCTTCTCACAGGCTCATGACATTATTTTACAACTCATTATCCCTGTTACACAGAGGTAGAATGTGAAACATTGGGGACCAATTAATTCAAAGACAGATAAACAGCTAACACTAGGCAGAACTCCAGCTTTCTGATTCCAAGTGTATGACATCCCTTGCCCTGTCCCATAGCCTTCATCTACCTAGTATCAGATGGGGACCCTTCTATGCACTGTGCTGGAGTGCCACATGTGGTTGGGGGTTCCCCTTTCTATTTGGTTGACTCAGGGCCCACACCCACATGGCACAGCCAATCACAACCCCTCCTAAGTTAGCACCCTCACCCTAATTCGTTCATCTGTTCCTGTGCCTCCCCTGATGGTGAGTCCCTGGGGGTGGTCTTGGGCCTCGCATAGAATGTGACAGGTTAGATGGGTGTTACACCTTTGAGGGACTTGGATAAATCTGGCCAGGAGAGTCAGTCAGCCCTGTCTTTCTCTGATTCCATTTTTGCCAAGGGACGGGGGACTCAAGCTATGGGAGATGGCCCAAGACACCTTTTGCATTCCTGTCCTTACGCATGGTTCCTCATACCAAGGTGATGATCTTTTGGGAGGGAGCTCACATCCAAGCCGAGAGGAGGGGTCTTAATGCCCACAAAGAGGCACACAGATACAGAGATATACAAATAGTGTTTCAGATACAGCTCAACATAGTGGTTATTAAAGTTAAGATGCACAGAAATTAGGGATGAGAGGGAGACAGCAAGATTAGTTAAGTCCAGAGGCAGATTAGGTCATGTTCCCCAAATAAGCAGGGCTGACCTCCAGATCAGCTTGGGATCAGATATCGGGACCCCACTCTGTGAGTATGGCTACCATTCATGCACTGTAAATCCCCAAGGTTTAAATGCTGAGTCCTTGGTCTTGACTTCCCAGAGAGCGGGTCTCAGGAAGAGTGGCCAGGATGGAGGCAGATGGGAGTACAAGCTGGGAGTGTCTGCAAAGAGAAGTGGATCCTTCCCACTAGGCCCTGCACACATATGTCTCATTCTGGGCCTGGAGGCTGTGGGTTCCGAGGTTCTAGTCAGTGACTTTACAATGATACTTACGTGTGCTGCACTTTCCGGGCTGAACTGGTTGAATTGAGACCCACATTTAGCAACAGGCCACTGGTCCAGAAGGTGCCCTCTGCTGGGGGAGGCACAAAGGAGAAAGGGTCCTCTCTTAGGTCTAAACCCAAGTTGTTCTCCACTTCTGGTCAGGACACAGTGCAGAACTGTCTATACCAGGACTTCAGTGCCCACTGAAAAGAGGGATTCCTTCACCTCAAGATAAGTTTCTTCCAAAGCTCTATGGGAACAACGACTTCGGGATGGAGGGGAACACGAGGTCAGGGAGACAAGGAGATAAAGGGACAATCGCCTTACTTCTCCCAGTCCATCAACTGGCCAGGTCGCCTTCAACCCCTAGCAACTGAACCTGTGAACTTGGCAGCCTCTCCCCACAGACATTTTATGGGATTTCAGCTAAGGCTATGTGTGTCGAGGGAGAGCATGCTTGGGAGAAAGGAAAGCTGCTCCTACACCAGGGAGCTCTCCCCAGCCCTTGTATCCAATAAGTGGGCTAGCGATCAAGAAGGGATACTGTAGACAGAACGGGGTCACCCAGCTCGAGACTCCGCTACTTTCACTCCCTACAGCCCTCACTTCCTGTGCCTGATGGGATCCTGATCCCAACTATGTGTCCCCACACAGGCTGACGAGGGTCTCCCTAAACAGAAGTATGCTGTACCGGTAACGGGAGAGATGAGGTGACAAAAGTACAGTGGTGTCCCGAGTGTGTCCATTCTGTCTGGAAAGTAGCCTGCGATGGAGAGTGAGGGCCGCGTCCCAGGGTAAGGCTGTAGGGCTGAAAACTGCCCATTTGCCAGTAAGGAGATGAGGCATAGGACCTCTTCCCACTCTGACCTCCCATCGGCTAGCTGGCAGGACTAAGTACCACCCGCGGAGCACAGACATCAGGAAAGCTGATAGACGGGCTACCCTGAAGCAGCTGACCCATCCAGGGCCGCTTCTGAATAGCAACGAAAAATGCCACACACAGCATCACGCCAAGAGTCCCCATCCATACCTTAGGAAGATGGAAAGAGCGAGACTGGGTAATTTTCCCAACAAAATACATACGTTTCGGTTTTGTCTCTGCCTGTGTTCAAGTTCACCGAGAGATTGGAGAAAACCCTGCGCTGACCGGAAGCCTGGCTTGGGAACGGAACGAGAGAGGGGGAGCAGATTCTGGCGAATATCTCCACCTAGGAGGGAAGCAGTGCGCACCTCAAATCCTGTTCTCAGCCCCGCCGGGGACTCAGACCCGATGTACACCGGCTCATGGTGGAGACGCGGCTGGTGCAACTGCCTGTGCACCCCCAGCCAGGACCAGACGTGGCAAGGCGCTCCCCACGCATCCGCCACAGTCCTGGCGCGCCGAGCGCCGGCCCGGGGAAGGCGCCCCGCCAGTGCGCCCCGCGCCCCAGCAGGTGCAGCCCCGCGCGCTCCCAGTCGTGTCTACACAAACTTGTTTGCCCGCGACTGGGTAGATCCAGCTCGCAGCCTGCGCCAGGGTCCTGGGTGTGGGACCCCGGATACTGGACTCACCCCGCGATCGTGGCCGGCTGGGGCGCCCGCCTTCCGGGGCGCCGAGCCCGCAGCCCCGCAGTGCCAGGAGCACAGACGCCCGCACGCCCCCGGCGCCAGTAGCGAGCACACCAACGCGCCCAGGCCCACGTCGCACAGTTCCCCTAGGTTGCGGACTTCCGCACTGAGCAGTGGCGGAGCCGGCGGGCTCCGAGCTGAGCCGCGGGCGCGGAGTGGAGCGAGCGGCGGGCGCGGAGCGGGCGAACAGGCGCCCAGTCTGCACATGCTCACTCGCGCGGCCCGGGGACAGCGGCCGGCCTCCGCCGGGTCCTAGAGGCTCCGGCGTAAGCCCGCTGTTAGGCTTCCAAGAAGGGTCTCGGCTTCATAGCCGGGATAAGGGGCGGGGGGTGTGATCTGTCCTGGCCTGCTAGACGACGTTCACACCGCGGGTCACACGCGTTACTCGCTACTGCCAAGCCAAAACACTGACAGCGGTCTGATGCACCCGCCCAGCCTAGCACTGCAGCCTTACTGGCTCTGGCACGCACCATGGTGCTCACACCAGACGCACACATGAACACACTGGGCATTGCCACTCACAGCAGTACGCCACCACACTCACATGCAGACGTGGTGGCAGACGCACAGTGGCTGATACAAATACACACTGAATCACCAGACACCCACACTCACACACTCTGTGGGTTCTACTCCACTCACTCAGAAACAGGGTAGAACACCGGCAGGTGCACACACACACTAAAGCACGCGGTTTGTACCACTCTAATACTAACACACAGACACACTGGATCACTGTCCCACGCAGAGGTAAGCACATTCACCTCATCCACTGTCTCACACATCCACTTAGAAACACACACGCACATGCACACACACATTTGATACACAAATTTGAATCACAAACCCAATGACAAAAGTGCTCACACTATCTCCATACACACCTGGGGTTCTTCCAGCAGCTTATCACTCTGCCCACCCCACACATAGTGACAGACCTTCAGAGGGACATTGCCTCACAGGTACACACAGAGAGAGAGAGAGAGAGAGAGAGAGAGAGAGAGAGAGAGAGAGAGAGAATGGACACACAGGTTTATACACTGCCTCTTCTTTAAATGAAGGCTGAACCCAGTCTCAAAGGCTTACCCCACTGAGAAGTCCCACTCCTCCTCTCCAAGCCCCCAAGTCACAGTATCCACCCTGCTCTGCCAGGAACAGTCATGGGCCCAGGTCTCACCCAGTACTGACTGCTGGAGGCAGAGGACAGGATGAGAGAAGGCAGCAGGAGCAGGTGGAAGTGGCTCTAACCGACTTCCTGAATGGAAGTTTTATGCTTCCAACTTCCGCTAGGGGCAGAGCTGCTCAGCCACTCAGGAAGTGCGATTTCAACAGGTGCAGGGCAGCAATGGGGCTTCGAAGGGGACCAGTTCTGGAAGGTCAAGGCACCCTGATGAAGAGCTGAAAAGCGGGAGGACTTGCTGAAGTTTGCACAGAGGAATCTTGCTGTCTGGAGGTGACGGCTGAGCTCTCTGGAGCCCGGGGAGTCTTGGATGAGAACACAGGGAGGGAGGAATTCTGTGCTATTTCAGCAGTCCAGGCCTGAAAAAAAGTAACCTCTCCACAGCCTTTAATAATCATTACCAGCAGTAACTTGCCGTGCCCTTTCACAATGCTGTTTTGTGTTTAAACCCTCTCCAGGACTGGCTACATAATTTATAGAGTCCGGCGCAAAAGGAAAATGTGGGCTCTGTGCTAAAAAAATTATTAGAATTTCAAGACATGCAGGTATGATTTAAAAATACAATTCAGGGGCCACTGGGAAGCACAGTCTTGTGTCTTTCATGGGCCTTAAGCCCATGAAGTCACCCATGACCCTCTTATAGCCTTGTCCCACTTAATACTTATGACAGACTAACTTCATATGCATCCACTTCAAATGGTGTTCTTGGGGCACAAACGGAGTTGATTATCCAAGGGTTGAGGCAAGGACAGCCCAGGGGATGTCCAAACCAGCTGCTCAGGATTCCAGACACTCCCCTGCAGTTACTACTTGGGAGAAGATGCCACCTCAAGCAGCAGCAACCTGAAACAAGAGAGCTGAGTTGTCTATGTGAAGGATGGGATGGATATTAAGGGAAGAGTTCTGTGTCTGACTGTACTTGCGATGCTCAGCACTCCAGGAAGGGCTTCCCGGTCTCTGTGTGTAGAGACACCTGTGTAGGCATGCTCGCTGACTCTAGAAAGGAGAGATGAGAAAGGAGATGCTCACTGACTCTAGAAAGGGGAGACAAGAAAGGAGATGCTCGCTGACTCTAGAAAGGGGAGACGAGAAAGGAGATGCTCGCTGACTCTAGCAAGAGGTGATGAGAAAAGAGGTGTGAGAAGGAACCCATAGAACATGTAGTTGAAGAGGGCTGGGAAAAGGCAGGTTGGGGGTTTCTGTGCTGGGATGGAGCCCTCCTCTCTAGTGTCGGTTGCAGATAAGGCTTTGAGAAGCTACCTTGCATAGTCACCTTCAAACCATGCCAGCCCTTTCCCTGTGCCTAGATCCACTGCTAATCATCTCCATATCACCTGTTCCCATGTGGCAACAACATCCTAGTGTCACAGGGACTTCTACGGTGGTCCTACCATGGTGTTGCCTCGGGTACAGCTACTCCTGAGTAATGCAGCTGCCCCTTCTCCTCTTGTAAGTCTAAGACTAAGAATTAAGATAGTCTCGGCTCACCCTAGCCCTGTCTCTGTGTTTGCTTCTTTACTCCATCTGCTCCACTTTATGGGCTTAATCACTGGATCCCAAGTATATGCATTACCTCCTAACTTAATGCTGTCTCCTGGACTTTTTGTCTCCCCCTCATCTCCTCTCTCCTCCTCATCCCCTTCCTCTCCCCTTCCGTCCCTCCCCATCCCTTCCTTTCATGTTGTGCTTTCTTTTCCTCACTGAGAAAGACGCCCATCCTGTGTTAGATTCCTGTTGATTACTGGAGACTGTTGAGCCGGCTCCCTAAAGAAGCATCCGGCATGGACAGCTGGACAACAAAACAAACCTCAAACCTGGGCCAATATGTCTGTAAATAAAACAGCACCGGACACAGCATGTAATCTATTGTTGTAAATATCCCATGCGGGTTTTTTTTTTCCTGGTAACCACACACTGTTGAGTGTTCTCCAGGCCCACCAGGTTTTTAGTGTTTGCTCCTTCTCCAACTGGCCTGTTGCCCAGGAGGCCTGTCCTGCATGGGAGTCCAGCTAGAGCACCTGCCCACTGTCCACTTCCCAGTCCTCATAAGATTGATCACAACCTCCACCTTGCATCTCTGCTGGTTCTTCTTCCTTTTTTAACCTTCATGGGCTACACAGCAAGAATTTGGGCCCTGGATAACTAGAGGGATTTTATTCCTAAAGAGCCATTCAGTGCATAATCCTTGGTACATACACATGCTCACTCAATATTCATTAATTTTTATTTATACATTCACTCATTCATTCATTTGGCTTTTGAAACAGCTTTACTTCATATGCCAGGCTAGATAGGAACTCACTCTATAATCCAAGAGAGACTTGAACTCATTAGCAATCCTCTTCCCTCAGATTTCCGGGTGCTAAGGTGGTGGTTCTCCACTTGTGGGGGTCAAACAACCCTTTTACAGGAGTTACATATCCGTTATCCTGCATATCAGTTATTTACAGTGCCATTCATAACAGTCACAATAGTAACAAAATTACAGTTACGAACATAATTTTAGTGTTGTGGGTCACCAGAAGATAAGGAAGTGTGTTAAAGGGTTGCAGCATTAGAAAGATCAAGAACCACTGTGCTAAGGTGTGAGCCAGTTTGATGGTTAACACTGTAAATTTGATGAGCTTCAACGCCACCTAGAAGAGAAGTCTCTGGGCATATCTGTGAGGAATTATCTAGATTAGCTTAGTCTCTGGAGCTGGCTATGAAAAATTATTAAGATTGGGATAAGTAGACACATACTGAATACGGGTAATATCATCTACCAGTTAGAACAGGCATGTAGAAAGGAGTAGTGATCTAAGCACTGTGTTCAGTGTTCTCTGCTACCTAAATTAGATACAATGGATCCACCTGCCTTGGTTCCTGCTGCCAGGGCTTCTCCATCATAAAGAATTGTGCCCTCATACTGTAAGCCAAAACAAACCCCTTCTTCCTTGAGTTGCTTTAGTTCGATATTTTGTCTTAGCAGCAAGATAACTCACCATGACTGGCTTAAGTTTAATCAATTTCTAAGGTGCAATGTGTCTAACATGACATTTCCCATGAACCCAGGTAGGCCAGTGTCAGTCCCTAACGGATGCTGTGCTCCCTCTGAGAAATGCAAGACACTGCTTACTAATGTTCTGGTTGCAGACATCCCTGTTGGTTCCCAGTCATCTCGTGACTGGCTACCAAAGTCAACCAGCCATCAGGAAGATCCTGGATGAAAGAGAATGGCTCACTCTCTGGTATCTATGGTCGGGGAGGGGGCTGTGCCAAAATGAGGAAGCCAATGACATTTTGACTGACTGTGTTTGAGAGTTTCCCTCTTGCAGCCGTTGCTCCACTGTCCTGGACTTCAGGGTCACAGGGACTTGACAGTCCCCAAGTAGCCTGTGAAGGCTGCCTTCCACTCCTGTCCCTTTCCCTAGGATGTGACCTTTAAGGAGAGAGAACCTTCGACAGCGTCTCCAAAGAGAACACACAGTTTCCTTTCTCTTTCACCTGATGCTATGGATACTTTGTGTGTGTGTGCACAGTGAGACTCGAGGCTGGGTTATGCCCTTCGTTGGGCTGGACATACTTATTTGCTTTCTCCTGCGAGTGCTGCAGTGACTTAAATGTGCCTCTGTGAAATGCCAGGTACACAGATGGTAATTGCACCCCCTGCTGTGCCAGGTCTGCAGAGCACAAGACTGTGGGGGTGTGGAACAGGGCAGCAAGCCTGGATTGCCTGGGACTCGGTAGCCTCCCTGAGTGTTGGTCTGGATAGGAGAATCTGCACTCCCCAGACATGGGCCAAAAACACCCAGAAAGCTGCAAGAATTCAGAGGTAGCAAAAGGGCACAGTGCAAAAGACTTGTTTCGGTGGCAAGACCTGAGAAGTCTGTGCTGCCTGGTTCAAACCTATGCCTCCGAATCCCCGTGTCCAGCTGAGGAAAGCATAGTACTTCCCTCAGAGGTAATGTCTTAGTTCAGTTTAATTTTAATTTCACACTTACTAACGCGATAGCTGCCGCTCATAGATCTAGGAGAAATTTCAACTTTGTCTGACTATTTAAGAATACTTTTTAGGAGGCTATGACCTCTCTAGCTACTGTTGCCTCTGATGGATATGGGAAAAGTCAGCTGGGAACCTTCTGGAAAGGATTAGCCACTCTAGACCCCATTGACAATGTTAATGATCCACAGAAGAGGTCAGAATAGCAACATGAGCTGGTGTTTGGAAGGAGCTGATCTGCACTTC